AGCATTTATTGGCCACTCTCAGAATGACAAGGTATTATCAGCAGGAACTACAAGGTTACGTAGTTTAAGTAAATAGACCCTTTGCCCTCAGAGCATTTGAGGAAAACTAGACAGTAAATTTAGAGTATGGAATAGACTCTGTGGAACCCAGGCTTCCTGGAATCAAACTACCCTTCTGCCACCCACACACTGTGATCCTGGGCAAGTCAAAACCGTGTTTCAGTTTCCACATCTGTGTAATGCAACTAACAGCATCTAACTTACAAGTTTGTTGTAAGAGTTAAATGAAGTTTGGGGCTGGGAATTTAGCTCAGTGGTTTCGCCGCCCGCTGCACAAGCCCAAGGACCCGAGTTCGATCCCCGGTACCAAAAAAAAAAAAAAAAAGAGTTAAATGAAGTTTGTATCAAAACATGTATGGCACATTATTAAGCACCATGATGGGTTAACCCCTGATTTCAACTTAAATGCAAAGAACAAATTACATGCTTTGGCTGTCAAATACATGTATTAAAATATATTGGGTATTCTAGTATAACAGAGAGCAATACATATTTCTCAATCAGCAAAGTCAAGTTTCTAGCAGAGGAGGATATTGAGTTACACTCAGAGCACCACAGCTTGGATGTAAAGGGTAACCTTTGTTCCTCTTTGAGAGGGAATTAACAGGAGAAAAGGACTGTACATGAAAAGAGAGTATCTCATTCTGAGGGCCAGATGTTCTTCCCAGTTTCTCCATTTTGAAGAGCACCTGCCACAGGGCCACTGCCTAGCAAAGCCTGGTTAAAGAGAAGGGGTTAAATGATGGAAGGCAGCCATCCTTCTGATATCTAATCTAAAGGCTGGTCATAGCTGGAGGACTAGGGTCGACAGACAGTCTACGTGGCTCCCTTGTGAATCATCCTGGCTAGTGTAAATGAAATAGATTTCATAAGGCTGAAGATGGTGGTAGAGCACTGCAGGAAATATCACAGCAGCCAAAGACCAAAATAAGTCAGTGTCAGCTTTCTGACAGCACATATAGAAAGAGGGAATGGTTGTTAAAAGCTATTTTATGGTGGTGGAGGGAGTGTCAGTCTTAAAAACAGCCCAATGAGAAGGATCAGTACATGTGCTGCCAAAGCAAGCACCCAATGAGAAGGATTAAAAAAGTAAAAAAAAAAAATAAGGTGGAAAGCTTATGACCAATGTAAAAATGCAGCCACAAAGAGAGGCACAAGTTAAGGAAAATGAACCACTTTCAGTAAAAAAAAACAAAAACAAAAACAACAACAACAACAAAAAAAACAGTGATCCTAGGAAAAATGGCTGATGTCAAATTTGGAGCAAGAAATGGACAAGAGAGATAAGCTTAGAATATTTCCTGCCAGAAAGAAAGATTTTTGAGTCTACTGAGGCAATGTAGAAAGCATACAGGCGGCAAGGACAACCTGTGGGTCACAAAGAAATTTTACTACAATGGACTGAAACAAATGTATTAGGATTCATACATTTTTAATGATACTTAAAAAAAGAACTCATTGTGTTATCACTGTAAGTTGGTAAGGTATCAAATCAGTACTATGGAATTGATAAGGGGAGTGGATCAAGCCTTTCCTGTACAATCTGAATTTCAGAAGACCTAAATAATGCATGAGAAAAAGTTCTTTACAGACAACATTCCAACAATAAATGTAAGAGGAATGATGGATTTAGACTGTCACCATTTTGTATACCCTAATGAAATGAATGTGCTACAACCCTTTATGAGGCTAAAGTCACTAGGCAAAAGGTAGAAAAGTATGGTCATACTAGTGGAACCCATAAGTCTCTCTTAATTTCTCAAAAAAGAGAGACATACAAATATTAGATGCCTCATGATGTGATACAGTAAGACTTTCCATAGCTCCATCCATGAAGAATACTTGCCTTTGAACCAGAACCTAATCAAGCCTTCATATCTACCTGCCAGACTATAGGAAACATGGAGAATAGAAGAACAAGTTAAATGGCTGCACAAATAAAGAAGCAGCTCCAAGTGGCATATGGTACTGAACAAATGACCTATTCTTTCCTGTAAATCAACAGCATAAAAAAAGTGAAGACTGTTATAAAACAGACTTAAAAGCCTAAAAATCAAGTACAGCATGCAGACTTCATTTAGCTCCTGATTCCAACAATTCTACGTAGAAAGACATCTTTGAGAAAATTTGAATATGGGAATTATATATTTAGGAATTATTAATATTCTTAGGTATGAAAAAGATGAAGTTTTTGTATTTTTAATATCCTTATCAGAGATGTGAACTGAAACATTTGTGAGATGATATATTTAGGATTTTACTTTAAAAGCACCAGCTCCCCCCCAAAGTAAGCACAGGGAAATAAATCTTACGGGTGTATTATGCTAATCTCTTACAATCTCCATTATTAAAAAATTTTAAAAATTATTATTGTTTTGTTGAAATTACAAACTGTGCCTTACCTTGCCACTGATTTTTAAGAGGTGTCTCTGGTCCTCCCACAAATCAAAATTTAATCTTTTCCCCACTTATTCTAAGAAGGCAGTCTTAATCAGTATGCATGGTGAATTCAATACAATTAGAAGTGACTGAACAGAGGAACGAAGGAACTCTGCTATGTTAACCAAATGACAGCTTCATTTTTCCCTGTAAGAGATAGCCAACAGTGCACCTGGGTTGAGCAATACAACCTACAAAGAAATGAGTTGATGTAAGATTGTACGAATTTGTGGGAGGCTAAAGCAGCATGGACAAGAGCCACATATATTCCTAAAATGGATCCTGGTTGGTACAAGAGTTGAAAACTTCACCAACTTGTGTACACAAACACCTATTTCTTTACCAGTGTTAATGAATTTCTGTAACTTGTCCCTGAAATCATGCAGCTCCAACCTTCAGGTGCAGTCCACTGGACACAAATTTGAAGGTCCTCAAAAGGATCTAAGGCAGCTGTGATTGCTTTGCATTAGCACCACCACCCTAACCAAGAGGCTACCCAGCCAACCCCATGTGCACACAAGTCACCAGCCAACCAGTCTGGAACATATTTTACCTGTTTTCCTCTTTCTTTCAAACCACTGTTATGGACTGAATAATTATGTCCCCAATAAAATTCTTATGTTGAAGCCCTCAATGTGATAGTTTTTGGTGAAGAGACTCTAGAAATATTTATTGTTAGACTGGGTCATGAGGGTGGGGCCTTCATGATAGGATTAGGAGCCTCATAAGAAGAGGAAAAGAGAGATCTCTCCCTTCAACTTTAGGGAGGAAAGGCCATAGGAGCTCACAGCACATATGTGATCATCTGCAAGCCAAGGAAAGACCCTTCACCAGAATCTGCATCAGCCTGCATACTGATCTTGAACTTCCAGGCTCTAGAACTGTGAGAGGATACATTTCTGTTGTTCAAACCACTCACTGTGTGGTATTTTATTCTTGCAGCTGGAGCTACCTAATACAGGCACACATTTCACTTGTTTCCCTTTCTTTCAAATTCCTTCCTACCCCTTTGATGGCAAAGATTCCAAAATCATGACAGTGGTTTCAAAACTAAGAGAGGAGGAAACTTGAGTATCAAAAACAATTAATACAGTATTAGAATCCAAGGACAGTTAACAAAATATATGTTATTTAAGGTAACCACATTCAGAGTATTGAGAATATGTATATTGAAAAAGTATGCAACATCATCCCAGACAAGAGACACAAGTCTATGGACATGAACACTATAGCTCTATTTACACAGAAACCCTCAGCAATTCTTGTCACAGACTGCCTGGTTGCCCTACGTCTTCAGTATTCCATGCCATGAAAAAGTAACTGTCAAGGATAATAGGAACACAATCTGACCTACTTTTCTCTAGATTCTTCCAAAGACTATAACTCTGGTTCTTGCGTTTCTTTAGCCACCACATCTTGGGGACACATTTGCTGGCTTTCTTCACAGGGAATCCCTCTATGTTGTATATTAAATCACCTGTGGGCAGTTCTGAAACTCTATGCCCAGCTAATCCTCAGAACAGCCATCTGAGGTGGCCCATGGCCAGTCCTCCATCAGAGGAAAACACCTAGGAGAGGAGGGATGCAACCTGCAGAAGATGAAGACTTGCATAGATTGACTCTTCCCCATCCAAACGAAGTGCGTCTCCCCAAGACTCTCAAGTTTCTACGAACCATTTTGTAAGAACTGAAAGTTTCCCACTAAAATCTTTTTTTAAAGAGGACAACTAATATTTTGTTTTCCATTTCAGCCCCAAATCACCTACACTGTCGCAACTTCTCAGTAAAGACTACAATATTTCATGATGGTAAATTTGTTTTAAAGCTAAGGAGGACCCAGCAAAAGTGTCCCTGAGCCCTGGTGAAAAGGAAAGTTTGTCCAGTGTCCTGAAGCCCTGGTGACAATTAGCAGGCCTTTCCCGCTTCTCTTAACACACAAAACACGTATGACCTACTCAGGTTATTAGGGGGACTCACAGCACATTAAGGGGCACCACCAGGAAATCGCATCTGTGCACAGTATCGAGAAGTCAATATTTAAGATTCCGGGGGGCGTGACCTCTCCTGCTCATCGGGGTGTCCCAGAATCCTAAGCGTCGGACCCCAGGAACTTCCAGATCCTGGGTCTCTCCCTGGGCAACGGCGGGTGGCAGAGCCAGCCCTGATGCCCACAGCTTGCAATGGGACGTCCCAAACAAGCGCACACGTCGCACGGGTCTTGCAATCTGGGACCCCGCTCTTGCGGCCCCAGGCTTGCAGTCACGGGGCTGTTAGGATCCAACACCTGCAGCTTCCCTGCTGAGAGGCAGCGAACAGATGCCCAGTCTGGCAGCCGGAACCCGAGTGCCTCTTGGGTCAAGTCAGGTGCATCTAGGGGGAGGGGAAGCCCTCGCTCCCCGAGGGGTCCCCTGCCCCGCCGTCCCGGCCGCTCTCCAATGGCGCCCCTACCGTCACCTCCCCAACTTCCACACGCCTTCTCCCCACCGGGCCGAACCACTCACCCGGGCCCCGGCGGCGCTCCGCTTCCTCCGCAGCGTGAGCCCGCTCCGCAGCAGCGCCGGGAGGTCCCGCAGCCGCGGCCGCAGCGACGCGGGCGGCTGCTCGCGCTCGGGATCCCGGGCACTCGGGCTGCCCACCTCCGCCGCCGCATCGGCCAAGGCCAGGCTCTCGCACGGGGGCTGCATCCTGACGGAGCCCACGGCCATCCTCATGCTCTGCCGGCGGCTCCCGCGCCCGCTGCTCTTCTCTACCGCATTTGCCTCCGCGCGCAGTCCGCGCCTTCGCCAGGCAGCGAGAGGACGCGATTGCGGCTCCGCGCCGGGCGCGCTGCCAACAGCCGCACAACGGCGCGCGCCGCCCCGCCCCGCCCAGGTGCACCCCGCCCACTCCTCCGCCCAGGTGCAACCCGTCCCCGCTGCTCACCTCCGCCCGCAGACCTTGGCCCTCAGACACGCCCACTCCCGAGCCGGAGCGGAAAAGCTGCCCCGGGCCTGCATCGTGGGCATGGGCTGCTGCCCAGGTGCGATTCCTGGAATCCTCCCCCAAGCCCACTGTTCCCTTGGGCTGAAAAGTCTCCTTTCACTTCCCTTCTCCCAACAGCCAACCTGGGCCTGGACTTGGATCAAGGGAATTGAGAAGTCTACCTTCCTCCCCTCGTTTTTGTATAGCTTTAGCCTCACTTCATACTCTTTATTCCTAGAAACTGTTTTCGCCAAAGAACCTCTACATAGGCGGTGTTTTCTGCTCCCAGGCAACACTGTGAGGCTCTGTATTCTGCCCCACGCTGGGCCCTCTGGCCACATCCAATACTGAAAGATGAGGGGAGACAACTTTTTCTTGTTTATGATAGGTGTTGAGCAAAGTCAGTGCAAGTCTGGTGACCCGAAGGTGAATCTCTGTTAACTTGTTGAAACCTGACCTGCCCTGAAAGCCTGCAGCGTGTGATGAATGTGCTTGGTAAACTGCAGAGGACTCGGGGACTTCCGTGGTGTGAGTCATTGTTTATACCTTTCCAGGAGGTAGCCATCTGGAGCCCTGAGAGAACTATTCCAGCAGGACCCTAAACTCCCAAGGGGCTGTGAGTCTTCACACCCCAGGGCAATCTGCCTTCCAGAGGGCTGACAGAGCTTTTACTCCTGATCAGAAGGACACTGGGGGTTCCCACTTTTTCCCCATGACTTGCAAAAGTTAAATAAAGGATTCACAGTTAAAGTTTTTTACAGCTGGGCATGGTGGCACCTCCCTGTAATCCCAGCACTTGGGAGGCTGAGGCAAGAGGATCGCCACGAGTTGGAGGCCAGCCTGGACTACATAGTGAGTTCAAGGCTACGTAGCAAAATCCTGTCTCAAAAAACAACAAAGTTTTTTTTTAATGACAAGAGTTACAAGAAGTTAGAGTCTGATTTACCATTTGCCCTTACCTCCAGATACTTGGCAAACATATGTGGAAATGTGGCCAGGTTATTAAAAAAAAAAAAAAAAAAAAAAAAAAAAGGAAGAGCAGAGCATGCTGCTGCAGGCCTATAATCCCAGCACTCATGAGGCTGGAGGATCAGTGTGTGTTCAAAGCCAGCCTGAACCACATAGGGAGACCCAGTCTCAAAAAAACACCTGTTGGCTCAGTACTCTTGCTAATTGCTGAGTGTTGATAAAGAATATTCCGCCAGCCACCCGAGGGAGAATTGCTTCTGGTCTGGGCTTGGTAAAGATAAGCCAGTGAAAGGAGGAAAGTTTGAACTGTGCTTTGAGGCTGAGCAGGGAAGATTCAGCTATATGGAAAGGAAATGAGAAAAACTGGTGATGAAACACCAAGGTGATGTCACACAAGATCTCTCAGACATTGAGAATATGTTATGCTAGTGGGAGAGGTGAAAACATAATGAAGATGGAGGAGGAAATATCAGAATGGATGGTGGTGACACACTCCAAAGTCCTGTCACTTAAGCCATGAACATTTACTGGAAAGGACTCTAATAAACTCTACTCCATTGCAGTTTCCAAATACCCATCACAAATATTTCTCATGGCTGAATACCACTTGTATGTACCAGTGCTACATACTCTCCTGTTGGTAATCACTGCTTTGAGCCCCAGGGGCCACTGCCGCACCCTGTACTCCAAACTTCCCTGTTATATATACCAACTAAAGGGTTGACATTGGGCCCACCAGAGGTCTTCAGGACACTTCTGGTAAACTCTGATGCAAGGCACAACTCTGACTTGTGCCTTCTTACCCTCGAGGATACCCATGAACCCAACTTCTCCAACAAAACCCATGTGTCCTGTCTCTTTGCCCAGTTTCTTGGCCTTAATCCACTCTTGCATAGCATTTCTATGCAAAGCCTAGGCGTTTGGATTTTCTGTAGCTTCTAGGGCACTGACCAAGTGTCTAAAATTAAACATTAATAAAATGCCTTTGAAAAGCCGGCTTAGGTTAAAGTGATAAATGACAAAGGCCATATATTATCAGTGTAAAAATAGGAAGTCTACAGGCAAGAGCAGAAATGTGTAAATAGAGGAGCCACCCCCGCCCCACCCCCATCACCTCTGCACTTGCTGTACCCTCTTGCACTACTATCCCGCAGCACCGTGTGCGGGGATGTTTTCTATCCATGTGACAGCCACTACCACATGTGGCTACTGAACACTTGAAATGAGGCAAGTGTGACTGAAGAACTGAATTTTTAACTTCCTTTCATTTTAATTATATAAATTTAGATAGCAGCATATGGCTAGTGGCTACCAATATGGTACAGCACTGTTCTAGAAATCCACATTTCTCTTACTCAACTCATTTCATTTTTTTTTTTTTAACATTCAAATGTCACCATTCCAGTGAGCCCTCCATGACCATGTGATTTAAAATTGCAGCCCTTCCTACCACTCCTTTGCTTATGGCTCTCCATGCCCTCTACAGAGCATATTGCCATCTAACAGTCTATATATTTTACTTAATTGTCTGTTGTCTGCCTCCCTGTAACTAGAATTACACTCCATAAGTGCAGGACTTTCCCCCCTCTTTAGTATCTAGAACATATTAGTTGAATAAATGAATGCTTTCATGTATAAGAATTCAGTTTTTCAAGTGGAGTTTAACCTGGATTTTTATATAAAATCTCTGGCTTTCTTAATATTGGAAGCTTAAAACTGTACATCCTCTGTGTGCCAATACTACAGAGGTTACACAAAACTATTGCCCAGAAGTTTGTGATGTTTGCTAAAGGCTGAGGTACCAGCGCTGATATTCACTTAGAAGAAGGACAACAAAACTAAAGCTTGTGGAATACCTACGGTGAGAAAACGCAAGTGTTACTGGCTATTAGCAATAAGGGGAAATCGGAGAGCAGAAAGATAGCTCTGACAACCAGCTAGATACAAAGTGACCAGGACCTAAATTAGTTGTGGCAGTAGAAGCAGAAATGGGGTTAGATGTTAGACAGTAAAAAACAGATTAGGATGAGCAAAAAATTACTGCAGCTAGTTCTGCACACTATATTTTCCAAAAATGACCACTATAGCATCTCCTATTCCCCAAGCTCATCTGAAGTATGATATTTGCCTCTTCCTCATTAAGACATGGGCTTTATCCCTCCAGTCCCTTGAATCTGGGCAGGCCTTGTGAATGCTTTGAGCTAAATGAATACACAGAGATGACTTCACCAGTTCTGTAAATAGCCCTTAATTGGCCTGGCAGCTTCCACTTCCTGCTATCTTAGAATGCTTGTGCTTGGGATGTGCCCACTCAGAACCTAAAGTCCTTGCTGTGAGAAAGCCAAGCCACAAGAGGAGGTGCTTTGCTAGTGGACCTCCCATGAAACAACAGCAGCAATTGCTGGCCATTTGTAAGCCATTTTGGATGCCCAGTCCAACCAAGGCTTCAGAAGACTTCTCTACCAGCTGGTACCTAACTGCAACCATGCTTGAGAGTACTGAGAAAGGACTACCCAGCTGAGGCCCATCTGCCCATTGAACAAAGAGAGGATAATAAATTGTTTAAAGCCATACATTAGAAGTATTTGTTACATAACAATAGATGACTGGGACACGTGATTCAGAACAGTATGAAGAACACAGTATTTTGTAAATAAAAAGAAGGAAATTCATATGGATTTTTGTTTATGCATAAAGAAACCCTAAAAATTTCTTCCAAGTAATTGAACTTAGCTACCTGGGGGGAAAAGGAGATTTTTCATGGATAACTTTGCATATATTTTTTAAAAATATATGAATATATTACCTGTTCAATTTTTTCTTTTTTCTTTATTCTTTTTTAGTGGTAATGAGGACTGAAGTATGGTCTTCACACTGAGCTAAATCTTCAGCCCTTTTAAAATTTAAAATATATTTTATTTTGAGACAGGATTTCACTAAGTTGCCCAGGCTGGGCTTGAATGTGAGAGCCTCCTACCTCAGTTTCCCAGAGTGCTGGGATTATAAATGTCTACCCCAAAGCCTGGCTCAAATAATATTTTTAAATAGTTGTAGATTTAAAGAAGTCAGAGAAAATTGGTTTAGTGGACTTTAGTTTTATGGTAACAGTTACACTGACTAAATTAGGAACACCAAGTAAAAACCTAGCCAAGGCAGGGGAAGAGTGAGCTGGAACTCTTGAAAACGACTGGAAAGAAAAATGTACCAGAGTTCCAAAATATGACAGTAAAGATTGGCCCTAGTCTAGGGCATAGAGAAGAAACTGAGGAAGCCTGGCCCTTGCTAGGCTTTGGCCTTGGATAATATGCTCTGTATGATTACCAAAACTACCAAGGAAACCATGGATGACCTGGGCTTTCCCCTGTGTTTCTTTACTCCCTGTCTACTTGCTGATCCTCTGATAAATGTTTAGCACGGATGTCTACCAAATGACTCTCCCCACATCACAGTGATTAGCACTTTGATGAGTCTTGTTTAGAATTCACCCCTTTCTATCATGTCCCACTTTGCATTCTGCCCCCACTGAAGATACTTTGCATTGGTTCACCAGCTTTCAAAAATAAACTCATGTACAATTTGTCTTCCCATTTAACCCCACCTATACTCCAGTATGAAATGACCAAAATGTGTTAAATATGAGCATAAACTTGCTGAGGGCAAAGGTTGAGCAGAAGGGCGATCAGAAGGTAAATCCTTACACCAGAAACGCAAGTCTTCCCCTACTGCCTCTGCTAAGAATGCCAGATAGAACCATTTGTGTACTCAATACTAATGCTATTTTTGTTTTCTTATGAAATGAATATGCAGTTGAGAGAAATGTAGCAAAATAATAAAACATATTTCAACTCTAAAAATGTTAAGGCTTACTTTATTTTAGTTTTCAAGAA